TATATATATATATAGTAAAACGTGGTTTCATCATGTTTCCTCAGGCTGGTCTTGAACTCCTGGACTACAGCAATTCTCCTGCCTTGGCCTCCCAAGGTTAAGGGATTACAGCTCGAGGTCATTTATGGGTTCAGGACTGGTCACCTGCTCACATTCTGAGCCAATGGTTCAGGCCCAGGGCTGAAGACACTTCATTAGCTGAGCCAGTGCAGAGTGGGGTTTTGGTCCTCTCATTGGACACTTCCATCGTAAGTGATGCATACTCACAGAACATTAAGCTTTGCATTAAAAAAGATTGTAGACTGGGAAATAATAGAATTAGACAAATGTGAATGAGTTAGAGTCCTTATTTCAGTTTCTCGGAAGCTTGAAAAGGGTGCTGTTCATTGAATTGTTGATTTAGCTGTTTCTGCACTGTGGGTTTTTGTTATGTATTTAAATGAATTGTATAATAGAGGTAATGTTGAAAAAGGATTCTATGAGGTCTGCTTGTTCCATTAGTAATGTTTGTCCCGTTTGATGCTTCTAAATTGTTATTTATAGCAGTAAACTGTTTGTGTGTGTGTGTGTGTGTAATATGATTTAATTAATATTTCAGGTATGAGTTTTGTAACCACGTTTTTAAATACTCTCAGATTATTTTTAGGGTGCATCCTTCAATGGGTATCAGCACCATGTTTTATTTTCTTGGAAAAAGTTTTCTCCACCAGACACAATAGCTCATGCCTGTAATCCCTTAACCTTGGGAGGCCAAGGCAGGAGAATCGCTGTAGTCCAGGAGTTCGAGACCAGCCTGAGGAAACATGATGAAACCACGTTTTACTATATATATATATATACACACACACACACACATGCACACACACACAAACACACACACACACACACATATATATACACACACACACACACATATATATATATATATACACACACACACAAAACTTAGGCAGGTGTGGTGGCACACGCCTCTAGTCCAAGCTACTTGGGTGGCTGAAGAGGGAGCATCGCTTGAAACCAGGAGGCAGAGGTTGCAATAAGCTGAGATCGCACCACTGCACTCCAGCTTGGGCGACAGAGCAAGCCTCTGTGTTCCTTTGTCTGAGGTAGGTATCAGGGGCTGCTGAGGCCGGCAGACGCCCTCAGTGATTGGCTGACATGATGCCAAGCAACAGGATCATCCAATCACCTTCAATGGAGGGAGGATTGTTGACAGGCTCCCTGGGTGACACTTCATCCAATCAGATGTCGAGTTGGACTGTGACGTAGAGCCAGGCAGCCAAACCAAAGTGCCCCCGTTCCCTGGTCCACAACCGTCACTGTCTGGTCTTGCCATCTAATGGCCGCTGCCTCTGCCATGGCTGAGGCTTCCTCTAAGATGACCTCTGAGGAAGACCAGAGCATCCAAGAGCCCAAAGAGGCCAACTCCACGACCGTCCAGAAGAAGACGCAAGGGCTCCGAGGTTCCCGCAGGCGCCATGCCAACCGCCGCAGGGACAGCTTCGGGGACAGCTTTGCCGCCTATTTCCCCCAGGTGCTGAAGCAGGTTCACCAGGGCCTCAGCCTTTCCCCGGAGTCCGTGAGTGTCATGGACTCTATGGTCCGTGACATATTGGACCGCATCGCCACCGAGGCTGGTCGCCTGGCCCGCTACGCCAAGCGTGTGACCATCACCTCCCGG